CATGATTTCTAGCTATCATTTAGGCCTAGCTACTTAGTTGTTGTGTTATCCAGCTAGCATTATACTAATAATGGTGCTTGCTAACACTAATGAACTAGCTGTTAACATTGAAAAGGAACTACTCATAGGTGTGCTGATACAAGTAGATAACTAGGTAGCTAACGTTAACATGATGGGTGTGTCTAACATAATACCCTTGGATACCATACAGATACCATGAGAACAAGGTTCAGGGAAGAGAAGACCATCGCGCCCAGCTGGCTAGCTATTTGCAAGATTTAGGTAGCTAGCTAGCTAACGTTAGCTGTCATAGCATGGAAAGTATATTCTGTAGATGTTAATTAACCTAAATCTGGCAAAAAGCTAGGTAGCTGGGCTCGATGGTCTTCTCTTCCCTGAACGTGACACACCCAGCATGTTAACATTAGCTACCTAGCGATCTACTTGTGTCAACACACCTATGAGTCGTTCCTTTTCAATGTAAACATATAGTTAATTAGTGTTAGCAAGCACCATTTCCCACAAAGCCTACCAAAACAGCAGCTAACTTTGCTAGCTATGATTTAGAATAGGTAGTTGACAAGCTAGCAAGCTATCGTTAGTTAGCTAGCCAACATTAGGCTAGCTAACTGGCAAAGCTAGCTAGCTAGCTAACGACCTATGCTAAATGTACCAGCACAATTTCTGTATCCAAAAAGCTAAACAAATTACATGGAAAACCTACCTTCTCTCTCCTGTGTGGACGTTTTGTCTCCCTTACAACACTTTGTTTCTTTCGCGGCAATCTCTTTTGCACACAACCTTCTTCTTGATCCCGGTTCTTTGCGCACTGTCACTATGAGTTGGTGTGGGCACATTTGAGGTCACCATTATTTAGAGTGTGTTGCGCAGATGGGTATATTTTAACGTGATTTTACTTCCTGGGATAAATAAATAAGTGCACCAATGCATCCCATCCAAAAGTGAGAATGTTCTTCAACCATGAAAACCTTGCAAGGTTACATGAAATAAGAGGTTGTCTTATGACAATTTTTATGCATTTAAAAACCATTATTCAACAAAGTTTATAGGCTCATAATTTGGCAAGCACTGAACGACTATCTCACAATTTTAGCCATAACTGTTTATTAATGTGTAAAACAATTTGATTGATGCTTAATTAAGTAATTCACCCTCCTTAGCTACTGTTGCTTTCCAATGCACATGAAATTATTGACCAATGTAAACAAAACAAAATTATGTAAACCCCTGTTTTTCTCATAAGCTTCCATGCACTTCAAACGAAAGCTGGACCTGGGCATCAGACTCCAGAGCCCTTTATAGGACAAGTTGTGTCAATGAGGTGGTTTATTTTGAATTGGCTTACAATTATAACATAGTTTGTGCAGGCAGAAACATTTTGCTTTCGGATGCGATTGGAAATTTGAACATTTGTAACAAGCATGGTAACAAGCAATTCGTTGTTACACCTCTGTAATTACAGACTGCAATTACCACCATTTACATGTTGTTAGCACAGTGTAACTATTAATTATTACAATTAATTACAATACTTGTTACAGTATAATTACATATGTAATTACAGTATAATAAGGACCCCTTAAAATGAAGTGTTACTGGTTGTAATATGATTTTTTCCTGGCTTGGCTTCTACAGTGATTTTACCAAAGCACTGCTGCTGCATCGCAGTAAATGTCTGAAATGGGGCATAAGCGTTAGATACATGGTATTGTCCAATTTCAGCATTTGAATTATAGTAGCCTGATGTTATTTCTTTGCTCTGCACAATCACTAGAGAGCGCTGTCCCAGATGATCCCACTGTGAAACAAGGCTGCTGCTGCTCCAGTACTCTATATTCTCACATGTCTACAATACTTCACAGTGAGCAGTGAACATAATCGAGTAGCTTGTATGCCTATATCTTTTTTCTGGGGTATGTTAGTTTTAGTTTTGGGGACAATTTTCATAATAGGGATATAATTCCTACCCCTTTCATTTGTGTATGTTTGTGTAATAGTCTAATATCAACATATTTTAACCAATTCGTTTCTAAAACGAACGGAACATAGTGTCTACTCAAACACAACATTGTTTATGTTATCTTTATCAGACCCCCAAATAAAAATGAATATAGAATGTGCAAAAGTGGCATAAGTGGCCAATGGGCTTCATCAGTGTCAACGTGAAGTGGCAGTGTTCTGTGTTTTTGTTCTTGGGGCACGTAGCCACTGCCAACCCGCTATACATTGTCCTGGTCGTACTTTGGTTTCACCAGCCGGCTCGTGCCTGAATAAGGAGTTTAGATAACGCCGTGGCTCTTTCCGGAGCTGTCTTTTCGTTCTACATCACCGGTTACCTCAGACGGAAAAATAATTGGCCGTTTTCCTATTATTGGAAAACAGCAACCCTGTGGGATTTGTATCCGCATATCTCTTTCATATAACCGTTTGATTATGATGACACTATCAGATGTTAGATTAACTGAACATATTGCCATTCTTTTTAAATCTAAGAGTCAGGATTAAATCCAAATGAAAATCAAATGCAAAAAATCTATCAAAATCCGTTTATTTAAATATAGGTTTAGGCTATTTGATCACATCAAGGCTAATCATCTTGCCTTTCCATTCAATTAAACCATTCCCAAAAGTAAGCCTTTATATTATTTGCTTGGTTGAGAGCCATGATTGTTTAGGATATTTTCCCTTTTAATGATAGGTTATTAAATTGTTCTCCATTGATGGTCATTTATTATATATGTTTTATAAGTAACTTTTTTTGTGAGATTAATAACAAATGAATCTCAAAAAGGGATTATTTATTTTCACTGTGTAAACCACAGACCTCACAGGTGACACATTCACATTGTTCACCGTTTCCTGTAAACAGGCTCAGAGTCACTTGACATAAGAACAGCTGAGGACTGGATGATGTCGCATGCACATAAGGATCTAAATAAAGGAAAGTTCTTTATTATTATTTCACATTTTAATTTCTTATCATTTGATTCCATTTGATTTTAACATGCACACTTTCGTAGTATTCGAATATACATTTTTCAATAGCAGGTATTTCCATTTGACATATGAAAAGAGTTCTCAACAGAGAAAACGACCAATAAGGAGTTGATATGCATGGCGCTTAGCGCACGTGCCGACTGATAAGACTCTGCCAAGAATTGTTTGTGGAAAAAATCTACTGACTTTCTAATTAAAGGTTGCTAAATTCTAATAATTCTAATAGTGCACCTAATTTCAGTTTATGTGACACAACAAGCAAGTATAGTGTAGAGAATCATTGCACAATCAAAACCGCTGTGAAATATATTTTCCATAACCAAAAATATTGTAGGCTATTTTCAGCTGTTTGGAGATGGTGTACAAAACCGAAAGTAAAAGAAGCAAAAACGCACGTTAAGAACGGGAAGCATAGAAATAGCCCACATAGAACAGATCTACCGCTTCTTAGACTTGCTTTCAATTAGAATGACAGATCTATATGAATATATTAATTTGGTCGGGTTGCCCAAAAAGTTACATATTGCAGCTTTAAATGCATGAGGTTTGTTGTTGTAACTTGGCAAAATGTATGTGCAAATTCTTACATACAATGTAGGCCCGAGGAATGTGTAAAGTAACAAAATAATCCTAAATAGTTTTCAATCTAAGTGAGTTTCAATCCCCCACAAAAAAATTAAGATGTGTAGGGTGACCAATAGGTAAAATATGTTAATTGGGTAGATCGTCCTCTAAGAAAACCAATGGTCCAAACATCATGTCTCTATCATAATCCGATCAAATGTTATTGGAGTTTTTACCCTTGTAGGATGGCCATAGGCTGACTAAATCAATGGAGACAGAGAAAAAGATGTGGTCAAAAAAATGTGGTCAAAAATCAGGAAAATTACATCACGTCAGCTAGGCAGGATACTGTGCAAGCATGAAGGCTACTGGCTACCTGACAGGCTCACTTTCCCGTTGAACTCATCAACTTTCTTCTCAAATTCGCAGGACATAAAACAATATAGAGGTAAGATGGATATCGATTTTGAGACATGACATGAAGTATTTTCATATTTTAGTATACGTTTTTCATAAAAATCGAAATTCCTGTTATTTTTCGAAGATTTCTCACAAAAACAAGCATATCTCTGTGAAATGTCGACGGAGCACTGAGCATATACCAAGCTTTTTCTTTTCAAATCCTTTTGCATTTAATTCAGATCTTGTCATGCTAATTTTGCTTTTTGCGACCCGGGCAAATAACTTTGAAGAGGCAACGACAAAATGTAAAATCCTCAAAAGTTGTTACAGAAACCACTGCTATATCAACAGAGCTTGGTGCTTATCAGATGCATTAGGTTATGAAATCCGACTTTTTGGATATAATACTAATGATATGTTAGAGAAAGACCCTACTGAACGATTCAGAACATGAATAATAATATTTTTCTTGGAAGACGTATTTTATAACATAAGGAAGTGACATTTCATCACCAAAGCGTGTTTTCACCCACTCTGTGCAGATGTGTGTGGATATCTCCCAATTACTTTAATATATATTTGGGAAGAAACTCGGTTGATTTCCAGTCCTTCAGGCAAACTTTCAACAAACTGTAAAATGTTCAGCAAAAGTCGTTGCATATAGGCTAATTGCTATTCGCAAACATTGCGCATAAACAGCCTAACAATTTAGCGAATTCAGTGTCATCATAGGCCTGTGGAATAGCCTAAGTCATTGTCAGAATATACGTAATAGGCTACCCAAAATCGGTGCAGATGTGCAATGGATTTTAAATGGTTATGTCAATTATGGTAGCCTATGTCTAATTTAATTAAATCAGTGAGTTGAACCAATGGGCATGGAAAGAGCTGTAGCTTATTCCATGGATCCCCAAAAGCTCCTCCCCTGACGCTTGCCATGAGTTGGGTGTGTGAAGAAGGCGATCATATAAGAGCCTTTGAACAATTCGTGAGCAGATCATAATCGTATACTGTGAGTAAATCCGTAGGTGCAACTGAGAAGGTCAACGTTGGTTAGCAGAGGAGAAGAGGGACTGACACAGAGGACTCATACCAGGGCGCAGTGGTGTAGCGTCTTGGTGGTTGTGATTGTAGCCTATTTTTGGATCCTTTAATTCTGTAGTGTTTGCTATTTCAAAAATAATGCAGCTAGAGAATATTCTTCCCAGCGCATCAACCATCAACTTACCCAAGACTTTTTATAACCTCACATCATCAGATAGTGCAAACAATAGCCCGGGGCCATCGCAGATCGAATATCAAGTTGACCGGACGGAATCCGAACCAAGTAACGGTCCCAATAAATATTTGAGCGGAGTGGGGAACGCCATGATGGGTGAGGGAGAGGGCGACGCCTTCACTGGGACTAAAGCTGCCCCAGACGGAAGAAAAGGCTCACCGATCCTCGGTGAGGATGACCTGTCCACTGGCCGGCGGTACAACATAGACGAACTTGGCTCTGATAGATACTTCATCTCGTCCTCTCAGACGAGCTCCGATGTGGCAAATCAGTGTTCCCTCTTTCCATACGCAGGACAAACTGGGACAGTGTACAGCGGGTCAAATGGATCCAGGTATTCCTCCCTTCATTACGGATCGGTCCTGCCACCGACGGGGTTTTCATCCTCCGTGTGCACTAGCCGGAGTCAGTTTGGCAGTAGTTACCAGTTCGGCCAGGGTCCAGGTTGCCTGTACCCCTCCTATCCGGGAACGGGTTCATGTATTGGTTCCATGGCTCTCCCGGGGTCCACACCGGGAGCGAGGGCTCAAGTTTATCTCTGCAACCGGCCCCTGTGGCTGAAGTTTCACCGATTCCAGACCGAGATGATCATCACGAAACAGGGCAGGTGAGCAGAGGCGTTGAAAACAAAATAGGCAAATCTTCATGACAAATGTTCAAACTTAGACGTCAAACAGTATCAAGGTTCTGGTCTAATGCTTCTAATAATGTTAGGCACAACCGTGTTCATGGAGCTCTCAACTAGCCTTGCACTTCACAGATCATGGTGGGTTTTTTAGGGACAATTTTTTTACTGTGAGGTATCAGTGGCTTATTACCACCATGTTCTGTACTTGGTGGGACACTACACTCTAAGATTAATGTTTGATTATGGTTAGCCTACTAAATATCAGCCCTTCTTTGATGTTCCAACAGTCGTTTATATTTCGTTGTGTCATATTTGCATATATTTTACAAATGTTATTTACTTGTATATTTATAAATAATTATTTCGGCTATACAAACGTTTTAAACGTTTAAATTTTATTTTTAAGTGAGGAAAAGAAAGTGGCACGTATTTATTAGTGCATGCCATGAACTAACCTTACGAATTTTCTTAAATGCAATGACTCCCTCTTATAATTTTCGTTTGAGTGCACCGTTGAAATTGTATTTGCAATAATTGTGGCATCAAATTTGTTCTTTTCTTTCAGGCGGATGTTTCCATTTCTCAGTTTCAACATCACTGGACTGAATTTGACGGCGCATTATAACGTGTTTGTTGAGGTCGTGTTGGCCGACCCAAATCACTGGCGATTTCAAGGAGGAAAGTGGGTTACTTGTGGGAAAGCAGACAACAACATGCAAGGTGAGACTAATATTAAATGCACCTTTAATGTACTTATTTAGAGGCATTTTGAAACTAAATAAGGCCTCTCTAGGCATATAGCCTGCGGAAGCAGCACCATTTAAACTAAAGGGAATTAAATTACTTTTCGATAACGCATAGCCTATGTCAATCGGGAACGTTTCGTTAGATATTTCCCTGCAATTTACACCCAATTAACTGGCTATTTATGCTGTGTTCCTGGTTGTTTCAAAGCGCACATCATCACATTACCTATAAACGTTTTTTGTTGGTTGATTAACTCCATTCTAAAAGAAAAAGACAACCATTCAAACATTGTTAGCTGGTGGCATTCATATCAAGAGCACAACCTTGCAACATGAATTCGTCCATAATGTGCTTGACCTGTTTTCAGTTTTCACGGCAAACAGATAAAATTATAATTCATTATCAGTAATCTGTAATCTTTTTCTTTTCGTTTCATATAATGCAAAATAGCCTGCCAATGTTTTAATAATATTTGAATAGTAAACTTCAATCCCCATTTGCACTTTTCCCCCTCCATTTTTTTACCTGTGCAATTTAATAATATTTAAATATTAGCCTAATAGCTCCACAGTTTCACATCTGATTGCTTTTAACATTGAAATCTTGAGCACGTGATTCAATAATAGTTTTTTTGGTAAATTGACAAGTTGCTGGGCTTTTTGGAAATGTAAGAGAAGATCAAGTTCAAGAAATGGGAACATATCAGTGTTATTCTTTCAATGTGTGTTTTACATTTGTGCTGTATTGTACTTTATTTATTTTCATGTTTTATGTCTCACTTAATTTATTAAATCACAGGTAACAAGATGTATGTTCATCCTGAATCCCCAAACACTGGTGCTCACTGGATGCGGCAAGAGATCTCCTTCGGCAAACTGAAGCTGACCAACAACAAAGGGGCAAACAATAACAACACACAGGTGAGGCCTACACCATCATTTTGCATTGTATTAATTGGGTCTCAAATGTCTTGGGCTACTTTTAAAAAGCTGTCTTTGGTATTCTAGTAGGCATAAGAGATCACAAATCAGTCCAAAACCATCTATTATTTTTTTTTTAGCATTCCATGAGAACCCCAAGCACTAACTTTGAATTCACACTTTTTTTCTTGTAGATGATTGTCTTGCAGTCACTGCACAAATACCAGCCTCGGCTGCACATGGTGGAGGTCACAGAAGAGGGAGTGGAGGACGTAGGCAGTGAGGCTAAAACACAGACTTTTACCTTCCCAGAGAACCAGTTCATCGCAGTCACTGCCTACCAGAACACAGACGTAAGATACCTACTACTATCAATCTACTTCAATCTTAAGCATTTAAAATCCATCTTATTTACATACGAAACATCTTATCTGCTTAAGTTTCTATATTAACTGTGTCTATAAAATGTGTTTTTGGAAAACACTGCTGACCATGGCTTGAACATGTATCTTCTCTCCTTTCCAGATCACACAGCTTAAAATCGACCACAACCCCTTTGCTAAAGGCTTCAGAGACAATTATGACTCGTAAGTGAGAACGCCTTGCATCATTTTTTTACTGCTCTGCTACTTTTATTCTCTGGAGTGTGAGCTTGTTTTTCTCTAGCAAATTACTCATCCTTGGACCTTTGTCTCTCTCTTCCACAGGATGTACACAGCCCCAGAGGGTGACAGGCTGACCCCCTCCCCGACAGCCTCCCCTCGCTCTCACCAGATTGTGCCGGGTGCCCGCTATGCCATGCAGCCCTTCTTCCAGGACCAGTTCGTCAACAACCTGCCCCAGAACCGCTTCTACCCCGGGGAGCGGGCTGTGCCCCAGACCAACAGTCTCCTCTCCCCCCAGGCCGAGGACGCCGGGGCCAGCGCGGCTCAGCGCTGGTTCGTCACCCCGGTACAGCAGTCAGGCTCCAACAAGCTGGACCTGTCCTACGACCAGGACTACTCAGCCAGCAGTCTGCTGTCCTATGGCATCAAGCCCCTGCCCCTCCAGACCTCCCACGCCCTCAGCTACTACCCCGACTCGGCCTTCGCTTCAATGGCGGCCAGCTGGGGCACCAGAAGCACTTACCAGAGGAAGATGACCACAGGCCTGCCCTGGTCCCCTCGGCCCAGCCCCCCAGCCTTCACAGACGACCAACTGGCTGCTAGCAAAGACAAGCTGCCCGAGGAGAGCACCGCAGCCTCCACCTGGATCGAGACGTCCCACTCACTAAAATCTGTGGATTCTACCGATTCGGGCGTATACTCCATGCTCTGCAAGAGACGCCGGATGTCACCTGGTGGGTCGAGCACAGAGAACTCGCCCACCATCAAGTGTGAGGACTTGACCACAACGGAAGAGTTCAACAAAGACAACCCCAAAGGCATGGGTTACTATGCCTTTCTACACAAGCCCCTAAAAAGACTTTATTAAAATCGTATAATTTTTGTTTTACCGTTTAAACACCCTTTATTAACTTTTATCTAAAGGTGCCAAAGCTTTGTGCTCCCAAGCAAGCTGCACAAGCCCCCCACCCCCAATACCTGAACACACACATGCATTGTGACAAATTGTTGTTTTTAAAGCATGTCCCCAGTTAATTTAATTTTTTACAAATGTGATTTTATTTAAAGTCATTTCGTTGTACAGTATTTGTGCACTTTAGTATGTGATGTATCTTGTACAAATTGTCTTCATGGAGGTGTTATGAAATGGGTAATAAAAACAAGATTTTCATAAACAATCGTCCCACTTTGCAAATTGAGTCTTGTTTATCAATAATATACATTTACTTAAAGGTAGACTCGGCGAAATGACGTTGCCACGAGCAGCACCGCATATATTAAGATGAGCGAGACGCAAGACTTCACTCACATACAGTCACACACAGTATCTGTGCATGTGCACAGGTTCGCTACACGCTGTTCACAGTGTGGTTTCCAGGGCACGAAAACAGCGAAGAAGTTGAGCCTCACTCTTCAATGCTCTTTGTTGTGGAAATCAAATCAAAGTTTATTGGTCGCCTACACAGTTTAGCAGATGTTATAGCGTGTGCAGCAAAATGACTATGTTACTAGCCCCTAACAATGCTGTATAAAGTCAAACAGCATGAATAATCCCCCAAAAATGTTTATGAAATTTCGGAACGAATCCAATTGAACAACCCAAATAGCACTGTAACAATAATCAAAATGCAATCTATGCGTATATACACCGGATGAATTTACACAAGATATACTAAAAATGATATGTGCAGCCTCCTGAGTGGCGCAGCGGTCTAAGGCACTGCATCGCAGTGCTAGAGGCATCACTACAGAACCAGGTTCGATCCCATTCTGTGTCGCAGCCGGTCTCAACAGAGACCCATGAGGCGGCGCACAATTGGCCCAGCGTCGTCCGGGTTAGGGGAGGGTTTGGCCGGCCTGGATGTCCATGTCCCATCGCGCTCTAGCGACTCCTTGTGGCGGGCTGGGTGCCTGCACAACGACTTCGGTTGGCAGTTGTACGGTGTTTCCTCCGACACATTGGTGTGGCTGGCTTCCGGGTTAAGCGAGCAGTGCGGCTTGGCAGGGTTGTGTTTCAGAGGACGCATGGCTCTCGACCTTCGCCTCTCCCGAGTCCGTACGGGAGTTGCAGCAATGGGACAAGACTGTAACTACCAATTGGTAATCATAAAAATTTTTTAGGACATGTGCAGCAGTAGATCTATTCTGCCCTACCAAACAAAAGAGCAGTAACTGCACATTTGGTCAAAAATGTGTTATTTACATTATTAATACATTAAATACATGCTTTATCATGTGGACAACTATCCTGCCTCCATTGTGTTGTGTTATGGAGAAAATGGGGGGGTCATGGTTGCAGAAACTGCTAAAAGTTACAGTGAAACCAAGGAAAAATCCCCAAGCTGACTAGGTGAAAAATCTGTCGATGTGCCCTTAAGCAAGGCACTTAACCCTAATTGCTCCTGTAAGTCGCTCTGGATAAGAGCGTCTGCTAAAAGAAAAAAAAAAGAAAAAAAAAAGAAAAAGGCAGTAACTGCCATCACTCACATCAGTTACTGCCTTTTACCTTTGTTTCACAGAGCTTTGGGCTGCAGTGTCTACGGTTTACCTTGGTATTACTTATTGTTCTTCGCTGATACAGGTATCAAACTATATGACACTACCAGCCACATACAAATAAATATATTAACACACTTGTGTTTAAAAAAATGTGTCATGGAAATGTATTCCAGTGGGTGTACCAAGTCCTTGCCGCTGAAAAAATTCCACACATCACGATTCTGCCACTACCATGCTTCACCATAGGGATGGTGCCAGGTTTCCTCCAGATGTGTCGCTTGGCATTCAGGCCAAAGAGTTCAATCTTGGTTTCATCAGACCAGAGAATGTTGTTTCTCATGGTCTGAGAGTCTTTAGGTGCATTTTGGCAAACTCCAAGTGGGCTGTCATGTGCCTTTTACTGAAGAATGGCTTCCGTCTGGCCACTCTACCATAAAGGCCTGATTGGTGGAGTGCTGCAGAGATGGTTGTCCTTCTGGAAGGTTCTCCCATCTCCACAGAGGAACTCTAGAGCTCTGTCAGAGTGATCATCAGGTTCTTGGTCACCTCTCCGACCAAGGCCCTTCTCCCCCGATTTCTCAGTTTGGCCGGGCGGCCAGCTCTAGGAAGAGTCTTGGTGGTTCCAAACTTCTTCCATTTAAGAATGATGGAGGTCACTGTGTTCTTGGCGACCTTCAATGCTGCAGAATTGGTTTTGTACCCTTCCCCAGATCTGTGCCTCGACACAATCCTGTCAACTGTGGGACCTTATGTAGACAAGTGTGTGCCTTTCCAAATCATGTCCAATCAATTGAATTTACCACAGGTGGACTCCAATCAAGTTGTAGAAACATCTCAAGGATGATCAATGGAAACAGGATGCACCTGAACTCAATTTCGAGTCTCATAGCAAATGGTCTCAAGACTTATGTAAATATGGTATTTCGGTTTTTTATTTTTAATAAATTTGCTAACATTTCTAAAAACCAGTTTTTCCTTTGTCATTATGGGCTATTGTGTGTAGATTGCTGAGAAAAAAATAATATTTAATCCATTTTAGAATAAGGCTGTAACTTAACAAAATGTGGAAAAAGTAAAGAGGTCTGAATACTTTCCGAAGGCACTGTATGTACTGTATGTGAATGGTGTATAGACAGTATGGACAGTATGTGAATTGGTGCTAAGCGATTAGTGCTTTTTTAAGTCGGTTTGGTTTCAGTTTGATTATAAAAAAATAATTGCGGTTTTTGATTTCGGTTTCGATTATGTTTTTAGACATTAAATGCACTATGCATTATGTGGGTTAAATGCTGTAACAACACAAAATAAAACATTTAATAAAAGTCCCATGATGGTAGTGACTACCCATTACTGCTTATTACTTATTAACCATAATTTATTACTTTACTTTAATAAAATATTTCAGTTGTGTATATTACATTTGTTTTAGGCCTATTTGATGGCATTATTATTTCATTCCAAGTCCATCATCTCATCTCTATAGAACTGCTGCGTATGCTGTCTGACAAATCACTATTTTAGTAGTTCTTCAAAGTAAATAAGGCTTTGATACATACCATGACCGCTGAATACCAACTATCAACCACTTAGACCATGTATTTTCAGGTAGAAATACCTCGCAAAGCAAATGCTCTCTATTGCAATCGATTGAGCTTTCTTCTGTCTCACTGTCTTCTCTCCCTCTCCATGTCTCGCCCACACAGACCGGACAAATAGGCACGCCATAGATTATGGTCATTGTAGTTAATTACCACGTTTTTTGCGCTAAACTATGTAGAATATTGGCCTGTTGGAAACTACAACTCGCTACTACATCGCACAGTTCGGGCTTGATTTGATTTATCTCTAGAGAAACTGCACATTGCGCTCACAGAATAAAACTAAACTAAATGGAATCAAAATAATTTAACCAATGTCGGTCAATTAGTTGTTCAATAGCCAAAAAATAACATAAACTTTGGTTAATCGCTCAGCACTACTGTGAATAGAAAACATGTGTATAGCAGTAGTTATATAGGATGAGCCATGACTAGAATACAGTATATACATATAAAGTGGGTAAAACAGTATGAAAACATTATTAAAGTGACCAGTGTACAGGAGGGGGCTTGGCACGCACCTCTGTGGGCCCCCCATATTGAGGATCAGCTTGGCGGAGGGGGTTCAGACACAGGGCCCTGAGTTTAGTGACAAATAGTTTTGGAGGGCACTATGGTGTTGAAGGCTGAGCTGTTGTCGATGAATATCATTCTTACATATTTGTCTTGTCAAGGTGGGATAGGGCAGTGTGCAGTGCAATGGCGATTGCTTCGTCCCTGGATCTGTTGGGGCGGTATGCAAATTGTAGTGGGTCTAGGGTGTCAGGTAAGGTGGTGAGAAGTGAGTGCTATGGGCGATAGTCAGTTAGTTCAGTTAACTTTGCTTTCTTGGGTACAGGAAAAATTGTGGAAATTTTGAAGCAAGTGGGGACAACAGACTGCGATAGGGAGAGATTGAAAATGTTCATAAACACTCAAAAATTGCCCCAATATGCTGTTTACTTTCTGCATCTACAGTGGGGAAAAAAAAGTATTTAGTCAGCCACCAATTGTGCAAGTTCTCCCACTTAAAAAGATGAGAGAGGCCTGTAATTTTCATCATAGGTACACGTCAACTATGACAGACAAATGAGGAAAAAAAATCCAGAAAATCACATTGTAGGATTTTTAATGAATTTATTTGCAAATTATGGTGAAAAATAAGTATTTGGTCAATAACAAACAAGCAAGATTTCTGGCTCTCACAGACCTGTAACTTCTTCTTTAAGAGGCTCCTCTGTCCTCCACTCGTTACCTGTATTAATGGCACCTGTTTGAACTTGTTATCAGTATAAAAGACACCTGTCCACAACCTCAAACAGCCACACTCCAAACTCCACTATGGCCAAGACCAAAGAGCTGTCAAAGGACACCAGAAACAAAATTGTAGACCTGCACCAGGCTGGGAAGACTGAATCTACAATAGGTAAGCAGCTTGGTTTGAAGAAATCAACTGTGGGAGCAATTATTAGGAAATGGAAGACATACAAGACCACTGATAATCTCCCTCGATCTGGGGCTCCACGCAAGATCTCACCCCGTGGGGTCAAAATGATCACAAGAACGGTGAGCAAAAATCCCAGAACCACACGGGGGGACCTAGTGAATGACCTGCAGAGAGCTGGGACCAAAGTAACAAAGCCTACCATCAGTAACACACTACGCCAGCAGGGACTCAAATCCTGCAGTGCAAGACGTGTCCCCCTGCTTAAGCCAGTACATGTCCAGGCCCGTCTGAAGTTTGCTAGAGTGCATTTGGATGATCCAGAAGAGGATTGGGAGAATGTCATATGGTCAGATGAAACCAAAATAGAACTTTTTGGTAAAAACTCAACTCGTCGTGTTTGGAGGACAAAGAATGCTGAGTTGCATCCAAAGAACACCATACCTACTGTGAAGCATGGGGGTGGAAACATCATGCTTTGGGGCTGTTTTTCTGCAAAGGGACCAGGACGACTGATCCGTGTAAAGGAAAGAATGAATGGGGCCATGTATCGTGAGATTTTGAGTGAAAATCTCCTTATGGATTTTTTTTCCTCATTTTGTCTGTCATAGTTGACGTGTACCTATGATGAAAATGACAG